ATGAAAAAGCTATCTTTGACTTGAAAATGCAAAATGTAAAGTCAAGAGAATTTTAATTTTGAACATGCTTTTGTTTTTAAAAAATGAATGTAATGACGTGTTGAGGTAATTGTTTGTTAATGAGAAATGAATTTTGAGAAAAAATGAGAATACACACTTGGGTAGTGCAAGGTTATAAGCCCAACGTGGTTGTTGTAATAGTGAGTATATGAAAGCGAAAAAGTGGGAATAAGTGAGTAATGATTATGGCATGATCAGTGGAGGGAGTTTTCCTAGGGATTGGTAGTAGAGAAAAATTTATATGGTATTGAGGATGCCCTTCGGTGCACGGGGGTATAGCCTTGTCCCACTGTTTGTCGAGGAATTGTCTCATAGTTTGTCGAGGGACTAGAACCTAATTATCTCCACTGGTTTAATGAGGAGAATAATTTAGGGTATGAGACACCTCAGGGATTCGAGAATGGGAGAAGCCATTGTCTAAGAGTGAGTTCTATGATTTTTAACTGAGTCATACCTCATAATTGGTGAGTTTGGGTAGTCCAATCACACGGACGGAGCCTTAATTCATGTTATAGCCTATGGTTTCGGTCTGAGGAAATAAGGAGGATATAAGGTTAGTTGATCGTTGCCTAAGTATATATATGACATGTCACAAATGATAAGTGGTGGCAAGTCTAATGAAAATGGGTTATATCACACATCTAAGAATATGATGATAATACACCTAGTTATGAGAGTTAAAGAAGTTATTTAATGATAAATGATGAGATATGATTTATGTCAGCATGTCTTATAAATTTGATTTTCTTGTGCATGTATTTGGTTTATAATTGATATATAACTACATAGGATAGGTTTAGCCTTGGTTACTGAGTGGCTAGACTCATCCTCTTATTTAATACTTTTCAGGCTCTAGCTCTGGTGTTGAGAGGGAGAAGATTAAAGATGCAGAGAATTAGCATATTCCTACTGTATGCCTCTAGTTTAGATTTAATTGTGTAATGGTATATGATTTGTCAATTCTAGGATGTATGTCACTACACTTGTACTATTTTGGTTGTTGGAAATGTTAAAATTATATTTTGGGCCCTTAGTCTTTGTGTATGCTGATATATATATATATATATATATATTCGTAGGGCCAAAATACTAGTGTAAGTATAGAAATAATGATTTGAACATGTTTTGAATGATTTGGGCAAGGTGCAATCACATTTTACCTCCCCCTCTATTTTTAGTAAAATGAAGTTGAGGAGTGAATTTTTATTATAATAATGTTTCAGTGCTTGTGACGTGTTATACTGGTAGTCCTAGGTCTATTGGACATGGTTCAGGTGTTAGGAAAAATTTTTGGCACTTATTGAGAGTTTTGGATGCCCATTTTATATAAAAGTATTGAAAAGTGGTTAAAGTTTATTTCGGTGTCCAACTTCCTAGTATGATATGTTTCAGAAGCAAAACTTGTGCCATTAGCTAATACTTGTAAAGAGTTTTCTATAGACATCTAGATTATGTCATTTGGACAACGGATGGAGAATTAGGGTAGTTAGAAGCTCTCCAATTCTGCCATTAAATGACAGCAAAATCAGTAAAAATTTCGTGCAACATGCCGTGATGCATGGCACCTGAGCCGCGGTGCATAACACAGAGAGCAACACGCTACGGCGCAGTGTGCACAAGTCGCGGCACATTGCCCTCTATCATAGCACTTCTTGTTTTTCAACCGTTTTTGACTTCTTTCACTTCTCTGAGATATCCCATACTTTTGTAACTTATTTTACTTTGAAATGAAAGATTTTGATTGATTTTAACTCATTTCTATTTAAAAAATTTAGGATCCCTTACTTTTAGATTAAACCTTGGTAATCACTCTTTGAACTAATCCTTTGATTACCATGAGTTTCATTTATTAAATGTGTTTAATGGAGTGAGGATGTTTCACTAAGCCCCTTTCATCTAAAATAAGATGAACTACCCCATAAAAAAGATTTATTTACTTTCCCAATATCAGCCAAAACCCTTTTCGATAAGCGTAGTTTCCATGTGGTAATTGGGCAAGACTATGAGGGCAGATCTAACAAGAGCTGATCTAATTGTGAAATTAAGTAATTTACCTTTCCAACCTGATAATTTCATGCTAACTTTCCCTAAGATCGATTTGAAGTAGTTAAAAGAGGCTCTAGTGTGAAACAGTGGGATGCTAAGATATTTCCCTAAATCCCTTGATAGGACAATACCTATGATTTTGCTGAAGTCCAAGGCCCTAGAGAAGTGTGCACCTTTTGAAACACATTCGCATCTTGCTTTTATTCACTTGGTGTCCTAGAATTTTGCAGAATCTTTCCAGGCAATCATTAATAACTTCCATTTGATCTATAGATGCCTCCCAAAAAAAAAGGTCATCTGTAAAGAACAACTGGGAGATCGGTGGGCTATATTTGACTGGAGATATAGGCTTCCATTTTTTATGAATGATCTCACCCTCAATCATATGACTGAGTTTTTCCATGCAAATAGTGAAGATGTAACGAGAAATAGGCCTCCCACTTGATCCCTCTTGTCAGCTTGAATTCTTCAGATGGTTCCCTATTCCATAAGATTCTTATAGTGGAGCTATTCATGTAGGCTTGTTTAAGATCAAGAAGAGGTGATTCAAGACCCACTTCTTGAAGACAATTTCGAATAAATCTCATTCAAGCCTATCATATGCTTTCTTAAGGTCAACTTTTATTGCCACTAGCCCTTTGTTGGTTTTCTTGAATTTCATAATATGTATGACTTCTTGGGCCATAATCACAATGTCACTTCCTTGTCTTCCCTTAATGAAGCTACTCTGGTGGTAACCCACAATTTTGCCCATAACATGTTTGATTCTGAAGTTAGCACTTTAGAGATTATCTGATAGCTCACATTACAAGGAGATTGATTGGAAGTCCTTTATGCATTCATATTTCTCAGATTTTGGAATAAGAGCAATATGGGTTTGGTTGAGGTTCTTAACTTTTGCTGGGTTAGAGTAGGCAGATTGCACCAATTTTATGATTACTGCTCCCAGAATAGACCAATATTGTTGGTAGAGAAAGGCTTGAATGCCATATGGCCTTAGGGCTTTCATCGGTCCCATGTCAAAAATAGCATTTCTAATCTCCTCAGCTGTAGCAGAACAATGCAATATGCTCTTATCTTCGGGACTTAAGTTTGGGATAGGACATTTGTGTTTGAAGCCATGACCTATGAGAGTCGTCAAATTTAAATAATTTTTGAAAAAATTCAACTACCATTATCCTCAACTCATCTTGATTGTCAATCCAGTCCTCTGATGAGTTCTTCAAAGCATTTATTCTATTCCTACGTCTTCCCATATTAGTGGATGTGTGAAAAAATTGACTATTTTTATTTTCCCGTTGAAGCCAATTACACCTAGATTTCTGGTACCACAAGAGTTCGTCTTGGGCAAGAGTTTTGTTATATTCATTCCAAAGGTTAGCTTCCACTTTTTGAAGGTATTGATTGTCTTTTTTCTACTCCTAGCCTTGTCCAAGACTTCAAGGCAACATAATAGATTCTTCTTTTTCTGGGAAACGTTACCAACTCTGTATTTATTCCACTTAGTAGCGGGTGCTTGAAAGTTTTAAACATTAATGTTCCATTGTTCTTCAGACCAAGCCTTCTTGATGATATTCGGGAATTCTTCTTCCAACATCCAGGCAGCTTGCACTCTAAATACCTGATTTTTTTTGCAACGACAAAGGAGAACTTAAGTTCTTAAGAAAAAGCGGACGATGATCATAGCTGACTTTAGGTAAATGGTGGATTTTGAAGTCATTGAACTGCATAAGCCATTGGGTATTAGCAAAGCCCCAATCAATTCGCTCTTTAATTCAACATTTCTCCTAAGTAAATTTATCACTAACAAAATTAATCTCAGCTAGCTCAAGATTGTGGATACAGTCGCTAAATTGTTTCATAGAGGCAGAATTATTTGAGGTTCCTCCCACCTTGTCTTCTAAAAAAAAGATAGGCATTGAAATCCCCAACCAACAGCCATTGCCCTGAGATAGAATTCTTAAGAACAGAAAGATCATTCCAGATATGTTTCCAAGATAATTTAGTTCACCATAAATGCTAGTAAACCAGAACCCATTATCACCACGAGGATTGGTCGTAAAAACATGAAGTAGTTGAGTAGAGGAAGTAAAGTACTGGACAAAGGTTTCTACTTTATTCCAAAAAATCCAAATATCCCTACAAAACCTATCGCTTGCACTCTAATCCAATCAGAAAAATCCATTTTTCTTGACACTAAATCAGCGTTGGTACCATTGATTCTGGTCTCTAATAAGACTAACACCATGACCATAAAATCTCTAAGAATGTCTTGAATACACAGATGAAATTTTTTTGAGGTAGAGCCTCTACAATTCCATACTACTAAATTCATAAAAAAATATTTTTTTTCTTATTCAAGGATTAGTAGAATCACCTGGCTAGCTAGCCTTGTTTGACATTGGGGTCTCAGCTACTTCAGCCAGATCATCATCTACTTTGTCACCATTTACTTCGTAGAAGCATTCCTGTGAGTCACCATTCCTGTGATATTTGAGTCTTGCATCCATTCCTAGAAGGAGTCGATATAATGGGAGAAGGGTCATTTGTATGAACAAAGCACACTCCTCTTCCCGTTAGAGCTAGTGTGGTGTCTCGAGGGGGATTATTTAAAGATTCAATGATCTGTCCTCCTTTTGGGTCTTGGACCGAGTTACTTGGAAAAAGAGGTCCTTTAGCAACATTTCCAAATGTAACATTGTGGATCCTATTTGAGAGCTTGCATTTGAGGACAGGTGAGAGTATCTTAGGCCGTGTGGCCTGATTTCTCTTAAGCCTAATAGCTTTTGAACTTTCTTTTCCTATGTCAGTAGCACCCCCTAGGCCTTTTCTTTTTTGTTTGACTTTTCTTGATTTTTTCTTTTTTGAGAATAAGCTTGGAAAGAGAAAATTTTTCATGCAACCTCCTCATTGACCCCTATATTATTATGAGAAATGTGCTTATTCTGACTAGGAATAGGCGAAGTAGCTTTTTCTTGGCTCAAGGGATTTGTAGCCTGAGTATTTTCTTCTCTTTGCTCAACCTTGCTGTGACAATCATCATTCTTTTCGTCACCCACTTTCTTCCTCCAGACCATATTCGGACCCTTATTTGTGAAAATCTTGTCCTTTTCTTTCCTCATTTCAGCTTCCATATCTTCTACGAGGGCTGCAAATCTGGAGGAGTTGGTGGCACTTGATACTCCTTTCGGTCCTTCTCTTTGCCCAGAGTGCAAGTCATTTCTACCTCTAAGTTGTTCAGACCTTGAGACTCTTGGATGAAAAGGACGTTTTTCTAGCATCTATTCCCCACATCGAACTTCAAGCGAAATATCATCAGTTTTCATCGAATTAAAGGTTGAAATTTGTTTCTGAACCTGCTCTTCAATTAGGTTTTGAACTTGCTTATCCTTTTCTATCGTGCTCTTAGTTGTTTTTAAGGGGGGACAGTCTTCACTTTTGTGCCCCACCTTCCCACAGTAAAAGCAAATGACAGCAATGCCTTCATACATAACTATAAAAACTTTCCTTCTAATCACAAATCGAAAATGCAGCTGCTTGGTCAAGTCCACTTCAACGCTAATCCATGCGTGCCTTCCCCTCTCGAGCATGCTCTTGTGGTTCACTTGGGCCAAGTTGTTCATATCAATCTTCAAGGCTTCTCCAATCGTATTTCTTATTTCCCACATGAACTCTTCGGCGTAGCAATGCATTGGTAGGATTGGTATCCTCACCCAAAGAGCAATCTTCTTTTGCTGGTTGATGAACAGGTTAAAGTTCGAGCTCCACTATTGAACAGCCAAACAGTGTCCGGAGATAACCTAAGGACCATCACTTAGAACTTTCTGATATAATTCCATGTTTGCTGTTCTAAAGGTGAAATAATTATTTTCGAAATCAATAAGCTCAAAATCAAAAGAACCCAGCCTAGTCCTGAGTTCAGCCAAGCGAATCCGCTTCCCCAGTAGCGTGATGATAAGAGAATCTTTCCAAGGTTTACATAGTTCTTTGAGTCTTTCATCAGAAACCTCAAGCTTGGGTAAGGCATCCACGATCTTCTTTTGTTCTTCTGACCACTTTGGAGCATTCTGATCTTAATCCAGCAGCCACTCCTTGAATTGTTGCTCAAAATCATGCGTGCAGGCTTTTTCTTCTTTCCCAAGTATTTTAGCTTTGCATGATATCTGCTTCAGCTTACTGTCACTCTCTGGTTTTTTCATTACACTAGCAGAAGGCATCTTCTCCATGTGAACGTCTTGGTCTCCTGTCGCGCCCTGCATGATGACGTCATCATCGAGCTTCTTTGTACTTCTCTCGAGAACATCTTCCTCTTCAGATGATCTAGCACCACCACTTTCACCCAAGGGGGTGGCGGACGAAGTCAAAGCACTAACTCCATCCGGCCCTCTCTCTCTCTCTCTACCCTTCTCACTCATCTCTCTCTAATTGGATAGGAAGTTTAAATATGTAGTTTGGTGTGAAATGTTTTGTTCGAGGAAGATCAAACAAGAGACAAATATTACTTAGTCCATGTTATAAGGCCTTATCGTGTTTTACATTATGATCGCTTTATCATATTTGTCAATAATAAATCTTTTATAATTTTTTAACTTTGTTAATGATATATTATTATATATCAATGATAAATTTTTTGTAATTTTTAAAATTTTTAATGATAAATTTTTTTTATATCAATGATAACTTTTTGTGAACCAATCATGCTTTTAAATTTTAAAAATTTGGCCTATAATTTTTATGTACATGATTTTTTTGGATGAGATGAGTTGATTGATGCTGTAATATTCTGCGAGTGTGGTGGAGAAATTGAGAAATATAGAAGGGGTCACACTTTGATGAGGGTAAATCTTAAAAGTTTTGATTATTTAAAAACTTCAAAGATTCCGGTTGCTTGTTAAAAACTTGTGAAGTAGTGTGTGTCTATATATACATAAGAAAATAAGAGAAAAAGGCATGACAAGTCTAAGAAGCTGTAAAACACAAGAGTATATTTATTTTTCACCTTTGATTCCCTGGGTTCTCATTTGGTGTTATTACAATGATAAGCAACGCGTGTTCATTGTTATTTATAAATTATTGAGAGAATTACATTTAAAAATCATTCAAAAAATTTATTCATAAATAAAGACCAGTAATAAGTTTTATTTGATATGTTAACAGTAATTTATTTCGCATTTGTCCTTATTTGTGAATTAGTTTTTTAAGTGATTATTCATATAATCCTTTCTAATTTTTTTATTTTTATTTTTGACTATGTATTATTAAAATATAAAGTAAATTAAAAAAATAAAAAATTAAATTAAATTTGAACCATCTGCAATCAATCTCCACAGCCCAACTTGATTAGGCGCTTCTTGCTTCTATATAACTTTATACAAAGAAAAGATAAATAATAGTGAATTATTTGATATATAGAATACAATAAAGAGTAAATTAGCCCAATGGCCATGAACAACAAAGTTTGCATAAATTATGAATGTTTTTAAATATTTTAAAATATAACCCATTTAAAAAATTAATTAGAGGTGATTTTTTTCTTTTTATATACAAAATAAATATATTATTAAAGCGCTTTGCATAAATTAGTTCACGAATATATCTTCTATAACTAAATAAATAATTTTAACTTTTAATTAACTAAATTAAATTCCTACACACACATCCATCATATCTCTTCTTCTTTCATAATAATTCCTTTCCTTTTTTGGTAGGCAGATTCACATATTGCTTTTTTGTTATCCTAACAAATGCACTCTTTTGCAAGAGAAGTCCAAATATGAGTAGGTCAATTTTGTGCCTTTGCAAATTAGTCTTATTGTTAGGCTTCCTTGCATGAAAATGAATGGAAACCCAAAACTTTTATTGTATAGGGGTATTTGATTCTTTATGATAAGCTAAAATATTTAGAATTTTTTACAACTTATGTTTGATTTGTTTTGAGCAAATACTTATGTTTTTTTTCGTATTTCAAATCTACGATAATATGTCAGTGATATACAATTATATATTGCTAATAAACTATATTAGTGAAAACTTATCAACATCATTTAATCTTATAGATATGAAAATGCTTAATCTCATCATTTCTTATGATGAGAAATAAAATTTATTAGTTTAGGTATTTAATTCTTTGTGATAAACTAAAATATCTAGAATTTTTTACACATTGTGTTTGATTTATTTTGGATCAATGATTATATTTTTTTTCATGTTTTTGATCTATAATAGTATTAGTGATATACATTTAATTTTGTAGATATGAGAATGTTTAATCTCATCATTTTTTTTTTTCAAAAGAGGGTCAAATGAAGCTCTTTTTCATGTTTGAGTATTTGAAAGAAGGTTTTTGTCCAAAAATATATTTGAAAAAAGATTATATTATTTAGAAAGAGAGTAGTTTTGTCATGTAAAACTCAACTAAATATTAAAATGACCATAATGCAAAATATAATAAATGTTAGGCTGTTTATTGGGTTTGGTTTTATAAAATAAGTTCTATATGCAAAAACTCTTAAAATAAATCTTGTAAAAAAAATAAAATTGAACTAAAAACATGATATTTGTAGTAAGCAAAAATGTACCACGTGCCTGTTTGGATACAAAAGATAGTCAATTATTTTGGGTAAAACCATGGTTTGGGTGAAAAATACCCAAACACTCACATTGCCCATAATCAATTAATTGGTTGCTAACCATGTTCCCGTATAAGTTGTTCCAAATTCAATTACACCATTGTAACATTGCCCCTTCACAGCCTGAGTGCCGTCCTTCTAATTTCTCATTAGATTTAAAGCCCTTTGGTTTCTTTGACAGTATTATTGCTAGCTTGGCTAATAAAAGTGACTAATAATCAATCATGTACTATGCCTCTGACATTCTGGAAATTGATAAGGAGAAAGTATAAGTTAAACAATATACTTTACTTGTTAAATAATGTTTAATAAATTTAATAATATTATACACAACTTTATGAATATTTTGATTTTCAAACTTAATGTCCTTTATAGTAATTTAAACATCTAAAATTGTTTTTGATTAAATCATCCAAGCATTTTTAATTCTATCAAAATTAGTTTAAAAAAAATATCCAAACATAATCACATTGTAATATAATCAATTATAATCAAAATAAATCATATTAATCAATTTTTTATAATCAATTATGTCTAACTGAAATCCAAACATATAAAAATTGAACGAATTCCAAGAATCAAGAAATTTATATAATTACATGATCTAGTCATAGTTACTTATTCCATCAAGTGATTTGTTATTTATTAAGCAAAATCTTGTGTTCCAATGTTGTATATGAAAAAAACCTCTTGTTGAGAGAGCTTTACACTCATGTTCACTCACTCAATTAAGATCAAGAGAGGTTTAATATATGATTTTTGAAAATTGGTTGGATATTATCGCCATTTAAATATTCCACGCTGTTTTTGTCCGAGGGTTGTTAATTAATTACTTCACGAAGATTCCAAAGACTTAAACGACGTAGACCATTATCAGGTGGTTGATTTGAGGAGGAGGATTATGATTTATGAACAGACAAGATCTAACCTGCTGACTTCGGTCTTTTAAAATGTTGATGTTGGTATCCTTGAATCTTCTTGTCCAAGTGCACTTGCCTTGCCACTACCAGTGCCGTACGTTTTGCGCTTCACTCATTTCAAACAACTGAGCATCGTCAGTTTAGCATCCTTTCATTTCATTCCTTCATCACTCCACATTTATTATAATAACAACTTGGATTTCAAGCATTTCTTTCTTATGATTTCTTAGTTTTAATATTCGAATCCCTTGTGGTTACCGAGGAGTCGAGGACCACTTTGGAAATCTCCTCCAGAGGTAACACGCCACTCGGATTATTTTCTGCAAGCATTAAACTCTTGTAGTTCCCTGGTAGTCACTCCTAACCATTGAACAATTTTTATAGCAAAAGAATCCAATAGGGAAGAGAAGCAAAAGCATTTCACATACTGTATTACAACATGCCATTTGTTACAAGTAAGTTCTGTTGAGCTCACATGAACATAGCTCTCCATTCTTGTGCACCTGAAACCCCTCATACTGTACAAAAGTGAAAGAATCATACAATCTACGACTACACAAAATTACACTTCTAGAACATACCACGCATCTACTCTCAATACCTGCTAAGAAAGTCTGTGCTCCCATCCATCTTTGCCAGGCTAATAAAATGGCAAATGGATCAGAACAGTCACACAAGTCTCATAGGCAAATTTGCTTTTTGAAGCATTATAAAACCATACTATTCACGATGAACATGAGCTTGTCACGAGTCTCACAGAAAGTGTAGTAATATCCATGATTAATTTGATCTACCCATTCTTTTTTATCAACCGAGTTTACTGAAGAATTTTTTCTCATAGCAGCCCTAGCTTTGACAGAAACTTCTTCAATATTCCACGACCCCATTGAACGTCACTTTCTAAGACATTTTCATGACCTGTGTGAACCTCGGAAACTTTGACTACTGCTGTGGTTGAATCGAACTTGTCTTGAAATTCACTGCCAACCAGCTCTGGCTCATCACTGAGCGCTTCATTTTCCAAGACATTTTCATGACCTTTCTGAACCTCGGACGCTTTGACTACTGCTGTGGCTGAATGGAAGTTGTCTTGAAATTCACTGCCAACCAGCTCTGGCTCATCACTGAGCGCTTCATTTTCCAAGACATTTTCATGACCTTTCTGAACCTCGGACGCTTTGACTACAGCTGTGGTTGAATGGAACTTGTCTTGAAATTCACTGCCAACCAGCTCTGGCTCATCACTGAGTGCTTCATTTTCCAGGGCACTTTCATGACCTTTCTGAACCTCGGACGCTTTGCCTATTGCTGTGGTTGAATGGAACTTGTCTTGAAATTCACTGCCAACCAGCTCTGGCTCATCACTGAGTGCTTCATTTTCCAGGGCACTTTCATGACCTTTCTGAACCTCGGACACTTTGCCTATTGCTGTGGTTGAATGGAACTTGTCTTGAAATTCACTGCCAACCAGCTCTGGCTCATCACTGAGTGCTTCATTTTCCAAGACATGTTCATGACCTTTGTGAACCTCAGACACTTTGCCTATTGCTGTGGTTGAATGGAACTTGTCTTGAAATTCATTGCCCACCAGCTCTTGGGGTTTTCCATCATCTGATTCTTCTTGCTCCTCCTCATTGACCTGGACCCCATCATTCGATTCTTCTTGCTCCTCATTAAACTGGACCTTTTCATTTCCATCAAGCAAAGAATGAATAGCATCAATAACTCAGCAGTTTCAGCTTGTTTTGGAGGAATTCACAATAATACATTACCTAAAAGAGTGGAAAGAACTGCTCGACCAGTGTGGAGAAGCCACGAATTTTTATTACAAATTTATAGCCCAAAGCGCTCATCAGATGCTTGTGGTACTAATGCTAACTGAGTCCCTTAAATCTAGACACATTGCAAGTTTTATGGCTTCCGGTTGCATCTTTCAGTATAATAGCTTGGTTTTTTGGTTGTTCATCATGATTGTCAGAGAAGTTGACTATTGATTACAAAAACAGGTATAGTTAATGGTATTACTTTTATTCTCAATTACATTGGAGTCATTGTTTTTTCTTTCTTTTCAGGCCTTCAAATGACGAAATTATGTACGAAGAAACAACTTGATGTGCCACGGAAATGGACAAAGCTTACTCCATTAATAAACATAAATGATCATACAGAAAGGGAGAAAAAAAAAATCTTTTTATTATGCAAGTAATAATGTTCTAAGTGGAATAGAACCCCAAGCCTGAGAAGAAAAGAAAAAGAAAACCCTTGTGCTGGAAACAAAATCAACCATTTTTCTGCCTAGGATAGGTTTGAACAAGAAAAATGAGGAAGGAATTACGTGGGCATCATTAGAAAGCGAACGTGGCGCTCATCAAGCAGTTACCTCTGGCAAGTTCTGATCCTTGGTTTCAAGTGCTCCAACTGAACTGTCCATGTTAACCTTCTCTTCAACTTTATCTTCAGTTGTTTCTTCAGTTTTAGGTGGTGTCAAGCCAGGTACAAGAACAGGACCTTCTTCAAATTCAAATAGGTTGCCCTTCACATCTTTCTTTCCCTGATTATCAACTTGAGGACCTTTCCCCATGTGTTCAAGATCATGGACTGTAACTTCACTCTGAAGTGCCATATTGTTCACACCTCTCCTCCGAGGTGTGTTCTTGGGGGCATCTTCTGATAAATCTATATTTTCTGCAACTATGGGCATTGGTGTGTTCTTGGGGGCATCTTCTGATAAATCTATATTTTCTGCAACTATGGGCATTGGACTCTCCATTGAAGAAGAAGTAGTATCAGCTATAATTTGTTGCATGTCTGGTTGAGCAAGTGGTTTCTCCTCTAAATGAGTTTTGCTATCTTCAAAGTCTAGTACATTGTTGGTTGCATCAGATAGCATATCCTCTTCCAGATGATCCAAATTCTCAGAAAAATTTGACATTTCTGAGTCAAACTGGGGTTTCCCATTTGAGTGATCAGATTCTTCTTCCTCTATTAGTTTCTGAAGCTCAGCATTCTCCCAATCCTCACAAACGGTTATTCTGTTAACAGTTCCCCAAGTCTTGACAATTCGGTCAGACCCAGGCTGCCAAATAATATCCCCAGAAGTTAGTTTCAGAATAAACTTGTATTGGATTGATTTCCCAGCAGGTGCATCCTGTTTAGACACAGGAAAGTCTATTTATGCCTCCATGTAAAAATACTTTTATTCTTCACATATCTGTCAGATTTAGAGATTCTACTCACCATCTCAACAGACCATACATGCCCTTCCGACCAGGTCATTGGTAGTGCATTTGAGGGATCCCAAGCACCAATCATAGGATCATCACCTACTACATGAAACTGTTCGCCGTACATGCAATCTTTTTGTAACTGAAATTTGACCCGAACAACCTTTGCTTCCCCTGCGCAATCCGTGTATTGTTGTCTTCAGAATTTTTTAGAATATTGTGCAGTAGAAAAGTCATGAAAGGTAATTAGGACCCACCTGTATGCTGTGCTTGAGGCTCTTCAGTTTCCAAGTCCACCTGCAACATGTTATACAAGACAAGATTGAATCTCGCCGGATATTCCAAATCTCACACACACACTCGCACAAGGAAAGAAAGCAAATCTGGATCTTGCTCCAGAATCTGGAACAAGGAGAACCTGATTGAGGGGGAAAACAATTTTCGTCTCTCCAGTCATTTTCAGAATCTTTTATTTCTTAAGATAAGAAATTTATAAGGGACCTAAAAGATGGGGGAAAGCTGTGTCCGACAGCTGCATGCGAAATTGCAGGAAATAGAAGAGCCATATACAAATTTAAAACACTTCACACAGAAAGCAGCTAGAACTTGTGCCAACCTGATTCATTTCGATTGATAATATCCACTTTGCCACCCCAAAAAATAAAGAAGTAAAGAAAAGAAAAGAAAGAAGTAGCAAGAACTTAAAAGTGTTGATTGAAACTCACAAACATGATATTCTAAGCAGACAAACAAACCCAGAAACAGAACCCGTCACTGAAAAAAATCACAACTACGGCAAAAAAAGCAAGTAAAGGAAAACCCATCACTGAGGGGGAAAAAAATGAAGGTTTTGGGGAAGAAAGGGACCTGGGGTTTGGCTGGCACAACATGAAAAGGGGAAACACCCTTGTTGTGAACCGTTTGAAGGAACCGAAGGTTGCCGACTTTATCATTAGAGAAGGAAGAAAATTCAAGCCTGTCGTAGAAGTGAAAGGCAGAAACAAGCCTCGGCCTTGGGGAAGAAGATCCAAGGCCATCCAAAAGGGGCTTAGAGCAAGAACTGGTGATGGCTTCCATCACTCGGCGGAGTGAAGTTGACGACGAAAGTGATCACAGCGGAAGTTTTGTGGTGGGTGGCTTTCTTCTCGGTTGTACAGCAAATACAGTTTTTTGTTGGTTAGTGGCTGAGAATGCAAATCAAATACATATCAGATGCAGTAAGGTAAGGTCAATTTTATAGAGGTGGGACCAAACATGTGACTAGCAGAAACATGTAGAAACGGATCTGGTTACACGTGGCATTATGGAGAAGTCAAAAAAACATCAATTGCTTTTTACTGCTTTTTATCCGACGCGAGAATCTCAGCCTCTTACGACAGGTGGTTTCGGTTTGGTGGTTCACATGCCTCCATCACCGCTATTTCTAGTCAAGTCGCCTCTATTAGATTGGCCTGTAAAATTGAAAACCGGGTAAATCACGTTAATAATATCAGTAAAGGTATTGTCTGATTCAATAAAATATTTTATTTATAATTAATTTAATCATGACTATAAATTTGAACTTGTTCACTAACACGGTTTTGAGTAATTTAATTAGTTTTCTTTTTAATAAAGGCAGTATTAATTTGTAAAGTGGTTAATTATTATTTCTTCTATTAAAAATATAACATTTTTAATTAAATTTCACATTAATTAATAAAATGGTTGTTTATCTTCAAATTAATACTATCTTTTTATATTTATTATTCTTTAATAAGGTGTTTTACTTTAAAATAAATATAAAATAATTTATTTATTAATGATATTTTTAAAAAATAATAATTACACTTTAAAATATTAAAAATATCTTATATTTTTTAATACTTAACTTTTTAAAAAATGCTCAGGGAGTATCTTGCAGGAGAAAACTGAAATAAAGGTAAAAACAAACAAACAAGCGCTTTAATTTCAGTTAATAATAGGTTTGTTAAAATCATAACTAAATTTACTGCTCTTGCGTTGCATTTCATCGGGTGACAAATTTTTAATACTAAAAATAGAAAAGTTAATGTTTGTGCATATAAGGTGCAAATCTCAGTGCCTTCGGCTTCAGAGTAGGATCAATGTTAGAATTATAATTTTATAATTGTACATATCAAGTAATTGTGGTGATGAATTTATATATTATTTGTTTTTTAGACACTTATTTTAAGTTTTACAGATTCATTATATTTAAATATTTAGTTAACATATTCCCTTTAATTTTATTTTATAAATTTTAATTAAGTAATGAGAAAGAATAATTAATATTAAGAATGGACAAAATTTATTTAGTAAATTAATAAGAATATCAAAACCATTCTTGTTTGAGTCTCATATTTAATAGCATAAAAGTGAACTCTGTATTTGTTTAAGATTGATCAAAACACAAGAATACGGATAAATTAAATCTACTTTATAAAAAAATATATACTCTTTCTTACATTGCTTTTTATGAAAGTCTATTAGGATTTAAAAATATTTTTTTTTCCTTTTTAAATGGCCATCTAGCCTTATGTAGAGTAAAAACAAACCAACTAGAGGATATATTAGTGTAACAAAGGGGTAGAGCATGCATTGTTTGGAACTCTACGTCTATGTTGTGATCATAATGGTTAAAATGATTTTTTTAAAAAAAATGACAAGGCCAAGAAAGAATAAATAAATTTAAAATAAGCAAAAATCTACCATAAGATGAGCTCAAAATGATATAAAAAGAATTATTACATCCTTATAAGAAATATGAAATCTGCTTAAGTACTCTACATATACATTTTTTTACTACAAGGTTTGGAGAAAACTGTGCGAAATAATGACAGATTATGTTAGTAGACAAAATATTTTTGGTAGAAATTTGATGTGCCAACCAATTAGTACAATTATTTATCTTTTTAAAGAAATGCTCAAAAGTGATAGCTTAATGTCTCATAACAAATTTCATGGTTTTGTTGATAGTTTTAGCAAATGAATGATTTTTAAAGAACTCATTTCGGACAACCATGAGTCTTTTAAGAGAATCAAAATAAATGTAATTTTGTTGAACTCATCGTTTTAATTGATGTTGAGACTTTTAAAAATACTCATGAATTCTATGATGATATTGAGATGATAGCTAAGATATTTAAAATTCTTAATCCATTGTTTGGTTACACCAGAGACTCCACATATATTTGTTTATAGAAGAAGGAAAAATATAATCTTTAGTCCCTATAATTTTATCAGGTTTTGCTTTTAATTCTTATAGTTTTTTTTCAATGTTTTTAACCATTATATGGACTAAAAGTACTAAAAAAGTTGAAATTAGAGGAATTTAAAAACAAAGGACACAATCTTTCTAAAACTATAGGGACTGGAAACACTAAAAAAATTATAAAAATTAAAAATAAAACTTAATAAAATTATAAGAATTAATAATTATATTTTCTCATAGCCTAGCGAAGGAATCTCATAATTTCATATTCCTTGGGAGCTAGGCTCTGTGGGCACAATCTCTTTTTTAATATTATGATTTTTCTTTTTAAAAAATCAAATATTTTTAGGTTGCATTTGAATAGATGAATTTATATTGAGAATTTAAATTTAAAATTTCATATTTAAAATTCATAGATTCTAAATTCTTTATTTAGATGATATAAAAAATTTTAAATTATAATGTTAAAATCTTTTGTTTGGATTTAAAGTAAAATTTTAAATTTAAATTTAAAAGAAACTTGGACGACTGGTCAAAGTCGATGGTCCAAATGGTCAACTTTCATCAAGATTAGACAGTCAAAGCCGACTGGGATTGTAGCACCAGCAATGAACAGGACGAGATGATGAACTACCATTGGGACTAGATTGACACGACAATGAGAACCAGATGGTCGACTTCCACTGAGACAGGACTGATGGTGACAATTGAGACTAAATGACTACCTTTCACACCACCAAATAGCCAACTTTCATAGAGACTGAACCAGGTGGAGTTGACTGTTTGAACTGGTCAACAGTGGTCATTTGTTTCTATCAACTTTTGCGATTCAGTCCAATTATCATTTGCAAGTCAATCAAGCCTTTGTAAATTCGAGTCAAATTATAAAAGACATTGAATTAGAATTTAAAATAATAAAGGTTTAGAAAAAATTTTAAATTTCAAAGATACTGAGGTAGAACTTGAATTTAAATTTGAATCAAATTTAAATCCATACATTTTTAATTAGCTAAACAATGAATTAGACTTAAATCTAAAATCAAATCTAAATCTTATGTATCCAAATATAACATTATAGAATTCACTTTGAAAATATTTCTAATTGACACACCGTGCACATGACAGATTTTTAATCAGAAGAATGGAAGAAGAAATGAAGTGAAAATAACTTAAAAAAAAAGAGAGAGTAAAGTCTATCATATGTTTGAAAGAGAGAAAAATTTAAAGTAATGTTTCATATGATTAAAAATATGCGTGTCCCATTAATTATTAGTATCACACAAGTCATGCATGTACATATAAACAAGTAATTCGATGTTTTTCCTGTGCAGAATTAATTATTAAATGTTAGTTTTGATCAAAAGTCCTTAAACAAGGCTGGTTCTTCTGATTTGTCCAAGATCTCAAGTCTTTCGCTCTCAAAAACGAATCTGGTCAAAATGGGAAGGATACATAAATATGGTCGTTGTAGGACATTCACGTTATATTTTTCAATCCTTATTTCAGCATCCCCAAGCTCACAATGGATTATAAAATTGTTTAATCTCATTTCATTAATCTTTACAATTAACAATTAAAAAAAATACATTGATTTCACAAGATGACGTGAATACATTTCTTAAGAAATCGCATGATCCTGATTCCTGAATACAACTTCAATTTACTTTTCTAACTAAAATATTAGATGCAAGATTCACATTGTAACTTTGTTTAATAACAAGTTCACATTATAACTTTTTTCTTTATATGAAATTCACGTCATAACTTTTTTTTTATATATAATTCACATTATAACTTGATTCAAATGTTAATTAGTCAGGCCCAAATAAGGTTGCTCCCCTCACGCAAGACATGGTGATTTTATTCTTAAGAAAAATCATAAAACCTGATTATGAGCCTGATTCTAATTTTAAGATGATGCAGAAAAAATAGAAGAAAAGAAGTTGAACCCCTCAAATTATTTGTCCAGTACGAATTTTAAATATATAATATGTAATCAAATAATAATATCTTACCACTAGCAATGAAAAAGAAAGAAAAGAAATATAGTATATTTTTGGCAAAGCTACCCTGACTTGATTATCCTCAAATTTGATCTCATTGCACTCAATATGAGGTTATATACATAGATATATAACATGAGAACCACAATTATTGAGAACTTGTTTTTTAAATTGAAAATGTAAACATAGAAGATTATTAAATTGGTAGGCTAGGTAAACATGTCTTTCTTTCCTGTTGAAAATAGTTGAGGCCAAATTAGGTTTTCGCTTTGTAGTAGGCTAAAGGCTTGAGCTAAGCCTGAGGCATATATAAACTTTTTATTTTTATATAGCTTAGATCTAAGTTTATTTAAAGAATGGTTTGACTTAAATTTTTTTTAACAAATATACTTAAAATACAATAAAATGCAATGCAAGAACATTATTGAAAAATTGAATATATAAATATAATATGATTGAAAACATCACCAAGAAGCTAGAAATGAAAAAGAATATATCTCGATTAAAAATTAAATGATGAAACCGGTAATGAAGAACATGTCTAGTGCTTTTGATTTTCAATGGAGGAAGAATAAGAAGAAAGGAGTTAAAGAAAGGTAATGTAATTGATTATTTTCTGATTTCTTAATATTATGCATATATTACAAATTATATATATATATATATATTTAACACATTATATAATATATATGTAAATAGATTGATTTGTAAGACTCACGATCTTGTACTTGTAAAATAGACTTAACCTATTTATTTAAATAGGTCTAGATAAATATTTGAACTTAATTAGAGCTTTTTAGTAAATAAGTCAAATCAGACATGAAGTAGGTTAAATTGTGAGTTTCTTATAAGTTGCTTGACTTACTTCTATCTCCATCCCTGTAAAGTGTTTTCATTAAAAAAAAAAAACACCAAGTACCAACTTTTTCTTGCCTTTCTAATAAAACCGACATGTTGAGTTCACAAAAGAAAAATCATAGCTAAGAACTATTATATACATGACTGCAAATTAGACAATGCTGTGATATAAGTCTTGCCATAACACTTTCTTCTTGAATAGCCAATTTGCCACTCCATTTATTCCACAGATGAACCCCATAAGTTTCTCCTCTGAGCTGAATCACTTTGTCTTTGACCCATCTTGCTTCGCCCCTGTTCTTTGGCTTCTGAAACCACCCTCCTATTCTGGTCCAATCCACAGGATAAAACGCCATTGGAGGTAACACTGTCAAGTTCAAACCATCTTCTTCTTCTTTCACTCTCTCCACTACTCTGGAGACTAAATATGGACCGTTATATCCCCACTTGTTACCATCAAAATTCAACGCAAATTCTTCTATGAATTGTGACAAAAGTGGGTGATTCTTATCAAAGACAAGGACTGCGTTGTTCAATCTAGTCCACTGTTTGGAGACAGAGCCCATACTCTGTGCTCCAATGCAATTCCTTAATCCTTTGAAGGGTTTAAGGATTATGAAATCTGTGTCCAGATAGATTCCTCCGTATTTGTATAGAACCACAAGTCTTATTAGGTTTGATAGGTTCTGAGATAAGGGAATCTCACCTGGGTCCTTCTTCCCTTTTCTCAGATCATGAAGCCATTTTTCTGCTGGAGTTTTATGAAACAAAAATGGCAGATTCGGTGTCACGGCCTCAACTTTGAAACCACGATCAATCAGAGGCTTCAGAATTCTGTACCCTTGTTTGGAATCTAAGGTTCTTGATAGGATTACTAAGCATGCCCGAGGATGAGCCTTGAAAAGAGATTCTACGGATAACAGTTCTCTGCTTCTAAACAGATTCGCAGGGTAAATCCAAGTCATGAAGAACTGAGCCTCACATCCATGGCTGAAGAGTCCTAAAACTCTAGCATGAAACTGACGAGTTAAATTGCTTCTTGAATCGAAAATCTTGAAGTCGTGAAACCTTTTCCGGAACCAAGCGATCCTTTCCTTTTCTGTGACATTCAATGGAGGAATCAGAGGCTTCTGGCTTCCTTGATCATCATCATTATCTTCTTCTTCTTCTTCAACGAGTACGTGGGAAAGCGTTGGCTGTATTGCTTTCTGAATTCTGGGTTTCTGCAATTGTAACTGAAACTTCTCAGGAGCTTTATTATTTAAGGAACAATAGGAGATAGTTATGTCTTCACAGAGAAGAAGAAGAATTGCAGAGAGAGTGATGAAGAAGAACATGATACAGAGTTTGGCACGTATAAGAATCCTGCGATCAAACATTGTACAGAGCATCCGATGATGGTGAGATGATGAGACAGAGGTAGCCAGCAGGAAAATGTATAGCTTTCAGGAATACAATATGAAGGAAAGACTGAAATTAACAATAAATGATAATGAATTCGTCAAATTTGGAAGAAACTGTGGTGCATCGCCTAGTCAGGCGATATATGGTTGAATCCGGCTTGCAGCCGCAGATACCTTCTTATTCTTTCTTAAACTACTATATTTACAATTTAAAAATCTTTATTTTATATTAACTTTCTTGCGGAATTCAATTATCATTATCCCTTCTCTCTTCCACTCTGTTTTTTTTTTTTTTTTTAAGATGAAGTTTATCCTTCTATCTTGAATTTGAATTATATAAATTTAAAATTTATTTTAATTAAAAGTATCATTATCTTTTAAATTTATAATTAAAAATATTTTTCTATTTAAATATCATTTAGCATGAGCGAAACAACCTATGTTCTAGCCAAAAAAATCCAACTATGTAACATTATTTTTACTATTTAATAATAGAGAGAATGTCAATAAAGTCTCAACCTGAAATTTTGATAGTTAGGTCTCGACAAATTTTTTTAAAAAATAAATTTTAAATATTAATTCAAACAATTACAAACAAAAATCATAACTATAAAATGAGAGTTATATTTAAATTTTAAATATTTTATTTATGATTAAAATGCTTGAATTTAGAATTGTTTGAATCACTATTGACAATTGATATTTTAAAAAATTCTGTCAATGACCAAATTGTCATGCATAAATTAATTATTTTGTGACTTTAATGTCATTGTCGCATAATAATATATACGCAAGGTTGTAAAAATTTAATAGAAAGATCGATCACTCTTGTATTTTATTTTATTAAAGATTGGAGATCAAAGTCACACGAGTGACAAGTGATAACTTTGGCCTTGGCACTCAAATTATATTGATATTAATTATATGCTAAGTTTGAGAAGTCATATTCACGTCTTATCACATAATTTTTTTTTTATTAGAGTAAGTTAGATGAGTTGCATATTATATATTCACGTCTAAGAATTAAGTTATACGTTTTATGACTTGTGTGACTTATCATATTTTTTATATGATAAGTTTATAGTTTCTACATTGCTTCAGAGATTATTTGAACTTTCTCCAACTACAATTCTTGCCTCCTATTTGATTGACAAATTAATAAAAAAGATTGCAATTACTCACAAAGATCAGGTAAGTAATTAACTACAATATCCTCTTTTAATATTATACCACTCCAAAATAATGTACAGTTTTAATTATGAAAATATATTCATTGAAAAGAAATCTTAGGCCATAATTTTCTTCTAGTTATCTGAATGGTATTTTATTTTATTTTATTTTTATCATAGAACCAAGCTTATAGTTTCATAGTCAAATAAAGTCCCTAAGATTAGGCAACGCCAGAAAAGTAAATTAGACTTAAAATTTTGTTAGAGAATTATATTTTAATTTGACTGTCAATGTGTTCCATGATTAGAATATAATTTTGATTGATTCATGCCCACATTAATTTTTTTTTAGTAATTTTTAATCTCTATCACTCTGCATTTTTTCGGTGAATGAATTTAGTTCTACATTGCTTCCAATTTTCTCCAAAGCATTAGCAATTTCAATCCATGTGTAATCATTTTTTCCAATGTGCAGTTTGCTTATTTGAAAATAAAATGAGAACAGAAAGATATTCCTTCCATTAAAAAATATAAAATATTTTTTGAAGAGTTAGATGTTAAAAATATAAGGTATTTTTAATTTTTTGAGGTATAATTATTGCCTTTTCTCCAAAAGTGTCCCTATTGATGATGACTTTATATTTATTATAAAGTGTTTAATAGGAATAAATATGAAAAAATATGATTAGTTAGAAAGTAGGTAACTAATTTATTGAAGAATGAAATTTAATTAAAAAATATTTTATATTTTCAAACGAAAGGAGTAATAATTATGAATAAATGCGAAAAATAGTTGGCAACAATTTTTTTGGACTTATTTAACTTAATCACTTTGAAGTTCTTCGTAATATATAGATAGCTTTTTTCTGTAATTTTCACGTTAAAATATTGCATTTTTAAGTATCACAAATCTGATCTCAACATTAATATAAAATATAAGTATTATAATAATTTATACTATTTATAAATATTAAAATTATGAATAGTACATTATATTTCTTATTTGCTCATTGCATAAAAATAAATTATTCACCTTATAAAGATGATGATGATATAAATAGTAAATCACACACGCGCACACACAAAAATTATTTTTTTTTAAACCAGCATGGTAGAACACACACACATATATACATACTTTTTTTGTCTATATTTATAAAAAAAAATTGTACTACACAGTTCAAGAAAAATTAATTAACTATGTTAATTATGTTTGTAAATAAAAAAACTAGACTATAATATCCTTAATTAATTGTGTTAATCAAGCCTCTATTAATTATTTTTTGTGATTATGAATGATAAAATTATAAGGGATAATTTAAAAAATTAGCAATAAATACTTATTAAAAAATGTAATTTTATTTATATATAAAAAAAGTTTAGTTTCTATTATAAATAAAAACGAAAGAAGTATATATATATATATATATATATGTGTATATATATATATATATGTATATTCCTTTGCTTGTTGCACATGGAAAACTAGTATTTTATTTTTTTCACATGGAAAACTAGTATTTTATTTTTTTAATAGCTTCTTTTTGACAAGTTCTTAATGATCTTCATTAATTCGTTTTATTTCAAGATATAACGCTCAAACCTTGTCAAATTTGGCAAGGCCTAGAAAAATATTTATTAATTTATGGTGACATTAATTAATTAAGGATTTTAATCCTAATTATACAAAACAACATAGGCTCATTGATTTTTCTTTTTTGAATAAACTCTCATTGATCAATCAAAGAAACATATTATTGTATGTGACTTGATTTCTTGAACCCAATGCCAAGAGTGCTCTAACCAATGAGTACATAGCTCACTTTGTAGAGGGTAGTGATACTGATATCTTAACCAATAATGATTTAGAGTTTAAGCTCTAAATATGTAGCTGCTCTAAAAAATTATAGAAAATAGTTTTTCCTTCTTATGATTTTATCAAACTTAAACTAAATTAGTATTAATCTAATATAACATCCAAATATATATATATATATATATATATTATCTATGATATCATCTATATTTTAACAAGACAAGATTGAGATCCCGATATTTCATCTTAACGATTCAAAGTTATAGAAAAAGAGCCAAAAGGTAATTCTTTTTTTCTTTTTACTTTAAGGGGTAAATTCTATTTAAACTTAGCAACGGTTATAAACAATATAAACACAAAATACAATTTGGCAGTTAAAATTAAAATAACACGGGAAAATTAAATCTAACGTGCGCGTGCGTGTGTGTATACAGCATAAATTTAATATTACACTATTAAGATCAATCTCTCTTTTAGTCTTATTACTCTTTCTCATATCATATGTGGGCAAAAAAAAAATCAAGTCTAATCTTATTTGAGGGAATGATAATTATATTTGAAAATAAATAATTTTATGTAAATCTTAAATTTTAAATTACTAAAATTATATCCGATTTCAAACTCATGAGTTGCAATAATGGATGATCAGGTAATTACATAAAAAATAATAAATTAAACCAATTAATCCCATCTCCTAACCGGACTCTTCCGAGCCATCTCTTCTCCATGTGCATAATCTTGGAGATTTATCTTCCCCGACACCCGCAAGAATTTCGTTATGTACTCTCTAATGGAATCTTTTTTTGCAGATTCAAATATTGATCATCATACAATGTTTTATCAGAGAAAGCTTGGACGGTACACCAGAACAAAGAAAAAGCTTCGACGTGCCAGTTTCTCCATCTTCTCCACAATCACTTTCTTTGCCTGTATAATTTTGTGTGTCCACAAGTACCAAACAACGAGCCATGATTATTATTTCCTACGTTGTTCTTTAATAGATTTGCAGAATCCCATACCCACAAAAGGAACAGTGACAACACTTTCGCGCTCAATCTTTCTTACTTCTTCAAATATTCCCACGCAACAAGTCGATGAGGATGATCAGAAGGCTCCAGAACCGCCATTGAACCTCGCAACAAAATACCAAAGGATCAACTGGTTTCGAAAGAACCTTCACGAGTTCAAGATTTTCAAATCCAACAACCTCACTCGTCAGTTTCACACCAGAGTTGTGGGGTTCTTAAGCAATGAAGAATGTGAAGCTCGGTTTTTCATGACCTGGATATCCCCAGCGAGGTTGTTTGGGAGCAGGGAATTGTTATCCTTGGAAACCCTTTTCAAGTTTCATCCTCAGGTGTGTTTGATCATCGTTTCGATAACTTTGAATTCCAAACAAGGGAATAAGATTCTAAGGCCACTGATTCATCGGGGGTTCAAAGTTCAAGCTGTGACACCAGATTTGCCGAGTCTGTTTCGCAAGACTCCAGCAAAAGCATGGCTTCATGATCTGAGAAAAGGGAAGAAGGACCCTGGTAAGATTCCTCTGTCACAAAATCTATCGAATCTCATAAGACTAGTGATTCTGTACAAGTATGGAGGAATCTACTTAGACACAGATTTCATAGTTCTAAAACCCTTTCATAGGCTAAGAAATTCCATTGCTGCCCAAAGCATGGACCAGGTTTCCAAGAACTGGACAAGATTGAATAATGCAGTTCTTGTGTTTGACAAGAATCACCCTCTCGTGTTTCGGTTCATTGAAGAATTTGAAAGAAGTTTTGATGGGAACAAGTGGGGGTATAATGGTCCTTACATGGTTTCTAGGGTGGTGGAGAGGGTGAGGGAAGAGGGTGGGTTGGATTTCAGAGTTTTGCCTCCGACGTCGTTTTATCCGGTGGATTGGAAGCAGGTTGAACAATTGTTTAAGAAGCCAAGGAATGAGGAGGAAGAAAGATGGATTGAAGCAAAATTGGATGAACTGAAAAGTGGAGAGACTTATGGAATTCACTTGTGGAACAAGCAAAGTAAGAATTTGACAATTGAAGAAGGAAGCCTCCTCAAATTGCTAATATCTTATCACTTTTCTTGAAATGTTGGTGTACATCTTCCCTGATTGACTAATTAATAACATATATTTTCTTTTATGTAAATACTTTTATTGTATTTTTTAATGTCAGATATTCATGCCTTAATCATGACTTCAGTGCAATAATATTCTTTTTTTTCATTTTCATGGCTCAATGTAAATTTATAATTTTTATCGTTAACCCATATTTAAACTTGTGGCTATTGCCAAAGCTTCAATTGGTTTTAGCTCAAGTATGGTCCATTCTAGCCCATGAAAATATAGATTAAGAAGTGGCAACATTTACAATTAAAATTGATATTTGAATCTAGCACGTAACATCTTAAATTTTAATCTCTAAGTAATAACTTAATTATAAAAAATTTTGAGGTATAAGAAGGAAATTTTGAAACATAGGAATGGAATTTTGAGACTTGTGAAATTATTTAGTATTTATAGAGAATAAAAAAATTTAAAAATAGATAAAATAAGTTAAAATTTTTTACCCAAAATAAGATAAATTATAAATATTTAATTTTGAGAAAAATAATAACAATAAAAAGATAATAAAATTAATATATGTGTATATATGCAAGAGTGGATAGGCGTATATAAATATATTTATAATTTATAATTGCGAAATAATATTGTAATATATTTATATATACAAGAAGGAGAAAGATAAAAATTCATGCGTGTGGGCCCAAAGCCCACTCCACTCATTTATCTACCTAAACCCACACACGTTTATGCTTCATTCCAGCCGAGGCAGCTGTGAGTGTGAGAAAAAGAGAGGAGCCAACGCGAGTCAGAGTTTAGATTTAGGAATATATTCTGATATCTCGATTTGAATTTTTCTACTATATCAGGTAAGTGTTTTAAATTTTTGGTTATGTTTACTTATCTTCCTAGTTTTAAAATTCTTGAACGTGAAAAATCTAGGGTCCAATCTATTAGAGTCTTTTTTTTTTCTTTTTTCTAATAGAAAATTTTTCTAATAATATATCTAGATCTATTTTAAGATTTTAGGAAGTTTAATCTCTATATGAATTGTTTACGAGGTTTGAGAATTCTTAGCGTGAGAATTTAGGGAAAAAGTAAAGATTTGAGACGAGCAGAGGCTTTATATGAATGCTTTTAACTTGTACAAAATTCATTAGAAATATAAATATGGACAAACTGGCTGATATAAAAGGGTATGGATTTAAAAGAACATTTTGGGTTCTCCAAGGTGGCTTCAAGGCCCAAAAATAACTTTAGGATAATCTCATAATAGCTTTAAGGAAATTCTTTGGTAGTTTTAAATTTTAATACTTTTATATGTGTGACTTTTGTAAACTCTCATTGAAAGCTCTTTATTGCCTGGACTGACGTGTGACTATTTCCAAGCTAAAGGAGAACAGGTAACTCGAGATTTTTTCATATGTGTACAAACTTTGTGTTTGATAATAAATGTGAATAATCATAAATTTAAATGTGAGAAATTTATATGTTACTTAAATTTTGTCGAGCATGCTTATAGCTTGGCTATATATTATTGTTAGCATTTTATTTTCAAGCATGCTTGTGAATATAGATTAACAATGTATATTTTATGAAAATTGTATATTATTGAAGAGTAGTTTATTTCTTTCAAACATGCTTGTAAATTGAGTTAATTGAATGAGATATTTTTATTTCTTTTCAAGCATGCTTGTATGCAATATAAGTGTTGTATATGTCTAGTATGTATAGGAGAATGGTTGATGAGAAGATGATGATGTTGATGTACAAATGAATTAGTGACCATGTGGTTTGCTTCCATTGCGCTCACAATAATTGGCCTCTTTCAAAGCCTCATTCCTCAATACTTACCTGGTGAGGTTTGTAAAGAGGGAATGTGGGATAATGACCCTTCCTATTGGGTTCTTCAAGGAGGAGAGCTATAGTCTGAGTTTGGACTTTGTACCTTTGACTAAGTACACCTTCAAAGCTTGGTTAGTTCAACATGTAAGCTAGACCACATTTAAGCATATGCATGGTTCTAGTCAGCGGAATAAGAAAAGATAGAGTAATAAGAAAGATTATCAGTATTGATTATTAGTATGTTATAAGCTATATCTTATGAAATTCTTATATCATTACTGAATAATTCTCATGAACACTTGTATAATTGTTTTATAATTGTGTAGTTATAGTTTGTGCATGTATGGTTAAATTTTAGATTATTGATATATTAGTACTCACATCTTCTTTAACATTTTTAGGTAAGCTCAATAGAGCAAAAAGAAGAAGCGTCTAAAAGCTTAAGGCTTGGCTTAAATAAGCCTTGAGTCCCGTTTGAATTTATAAAATAATCAATTGTCAATTTAAGACTTTCATTTGGGATTTACTTATTGCTTTGTTTATTTTTTATTGATGATTTATTTATATGGATTAAATATTTTATAATAAGACTTTTGCACTGAAGCTTTTACAAAGATAGATATTTGAGCATAATGTTCACAAGTCTCAATATTTTATAAAAAAGAAATATTAACCTTAAACTTTTATACCTTAGTTGAATCTTTTTATAACAATAATAGCTCTTTGAAATTTGAAATAACTTTTTCTAACATGGTTACCTTTTTAAATATATATATATATATATATATAAAATTGAGATTTGGTTTCAAACTATTATACCGTAGTAATTATTTTTTATCATTTTACATATTTTTGTTGCCATGGTATTTGAGTAAGTTTTTAGTTAGTAAAGTTAGAGTGTTACATGGCACAACTTGATAATCATTTTAAGAAAGAAAAAATTGGACCTTATTGGTTTCTTATCACAAATCAAAACTCATAGTTGAACATTTAACAATGCCTTGAATATGATTATTTTTAATAGAAAGATACGTAGGTGTATGATAAAAAAAAATCTTGTTAAAGGAATAGTCTAAAGATAATTTTGATATGCACTTTTTATGTTATGGATCGAGTCCTTTACTAAGATGAGAATGTAATATTCAACTCACAATTTTTTATTTTAAAATTTAGAAATGTATGTGTTAGAGATAGATAGAGGTTCAATACAACGATATTTTAATCAAACATAATTATACCTTTGTACCATCTAAGTTACACATTCAATAATTTCATTGATTCTTCCTAATTACCTTAAATTATATTAGTATACTACTTATTTTGAAAGAAAAGGAGAATATATCTATCAACATATATTCAGAAAAGAAGTGTGTGTGTGTGTGTGTGTAAAGAAACAATATTCTCTATTTTGTTGACAAAATTGGTTGTAAGGAGACGTATCCTCAATCTTATCGGATAAGGTGCCCATAGTTTGCTAAGATATCAACCAAGATCAATCTCAAAAGATTTTTTTTTTAATTTTTTGGTAAAACAATCTCATAATAAGCGTTTTATCCTGCTAAACCAGAAGTTTAAAATCATTTCATTATCATCAAACTGATAAGCTCTGCAACACTTATTTTGAAAAAGAAAAAAGAAAATAACTCTAGTGTATCATTCTTTTGTTTTCCTCATTCTCACGTGTGATCGATAATCATCATCCGTGCCCACTGTCTGTTTCTTTTTTCTCCTTTCTGTTTTTTTTTATTAGCTTTTTTTTTTTAAATGGCTTGCGCACATGTTTGATTTGCGCACTTTTTTAATACTTCGTCCGCACTTATTTATGAAAAATAACTTATGGTTATGATTTAATTATAAATGATTTTTATAAATTAACTCCATAGTATTAATTGAGTTTCAAATTTCAAATTGTTATATTTTTTTAGGTATGTGGTTGGGCTATATAAAATAAAATTATCTGTGAATATCCATAGCTTGAAAATTTTATGATATTTTAAAGAAAAAATATAACTTTAAATTTTTGAACTTTGCTTAAGTTTTATTATATGTTTTTATATTATTTTTTAGTATTTTAAATCTTCATATTTTTATTTCTTAATATTGTAGGTCCTTATAACATCGTTCATGAAGGAATTTAAAATACTAAAAAGTAAAAATATAAAAATTTATAATATTAAAAAAAAGTATGAAAATTTATAACAAAACTTAAATAAAATGTAAAGATTAAAGTTATGTTTTCTCATTTTAAATGTGAAAAACATTTCGTTGACTTTTGATGATGAAAATAATGTTGGCATGATCCCAAGACAAGACAAGACAAGGACGATGGAATGGGATGGAAATAGGTTCAAATTAATTTATTCTTTTATATATATTCTTTCTATTTTTGTATATAAAATATTTTTAATAAAATTATATAAATTAATAAAAATTAATTATTTCATTAAAAATATAGCAACATTTTAATTTTATTTTTAATTATTATAAATAAAAAATAAATCTCTTTTTTTAAAATAAATTAATTAGAACATTCATATTTTTCTCTTTTTAATTTAATAAGGATATAATGATTCATTTATTAAAAAATATGTTAACAATATATTATATTTAAGGATAAAAAAATTATAAAAAATTCCTTATATATAAGGATGGAGGAAGTATATATATAGTTCTTATGATTTTATCAATATTTTCTCATCATATATATAAATATATACAAATTATTGTTATATTTTAAGAAGAATATTATAAAAATAAATTAAAAATTCAAATACTATAAATAATATGAACAGTATTCGCTGATGCGTTATACTTAATTTTCTGAACTTGATGACATTTTGTCAGTTTGTCACCAAGTTTCAAATTGTGTTCTAACTTCTTAAGGATATTTCCCCCCCAAGATGGTTAATTAGAAGTAAGCTCGATCTCTATAGTGTTAAAGACACAACATGGAGTTTAACTATTATCTCCAAATCGTAGACTGCCATTTAAAACATGATTTTTTTTTTATGAACAAAAAATAATTTCTTAAATCTCACCAATAATGGCTACGAGAATTAAAGTTAAAGATATACTTAAGAATACATCATTATAAAATATTAAAAGCCTGTTCTATACACACACACAAACCTACAGAACTGAGAATTCAATACCTGAAGCGAAGTTGCAGTTTCCTTCTG